GAACGGTGGAGGAAGAAGATGGCTTGAAGTAGTTATGGTCGCACGGGCATGTAGCGCGTCGGCCTGCCCCGCGAACTTTCATAATGTTCAGGAGCCGTGGCCCGAACGCCGCCCAGAGGCTGCATGCCCAGGAGCTGCTGCTCTCGTACGCATCCACCTTGCATCTCACCCTTCATCCACCCAAACTCCAGCTCCCCGCCTTTCCCCTCACATCCGATGGCGTTGGCCAGCCCCGACATGGGGGGATCTTGCGGAGGGGAGGGGGGCATAGATGCTTTCATAAGTGTACGAACAGTCAATCAGACAGGAGGGAGGGGGGGGCCTGGAGAGAGGGGGGCGAGTTTCGGCTGACAGAATCATCAGTCCAGCATCTTCCCTGCTGGGGGAACACGTTTCGAATATACGGATGAGGGGGAAGAGCCGGCGGACCCCACTCCTTCCCAGCACGCATAGCACCATTGCAGCTCGTGCACATGGTTGTAAAGGATGTTGGTGATCAGCACGTTGAAGCATACCTTCGTAACCCAAAACCAACTGCTGACATCCTCGATCAAAAACTTCATGCAACTAGAATTCGACTCGGGGCGGAGGAGCACGATGGTGTAGACAAGAAATCCAGTTACTCTGCTGCCTATATAAACTCCAGCGGTCATGCAACCACGCTTCAAAATCTCAGAGTCTCTCCAGAGGTCTATCTTGCCCGCGATGTGCAGGCCGCGTCGTGCTCCTCCATCGCGCCCCCCTCTCTCTGGCCCCCATAGCGGCGGAGGCTCCAAAAGAGAGGGGGGGGCCGAGCGCCTCCGAGCGCTCACTTCGCTTGTTTCTTGAGCCAACCCCACAACTGCGCCTCGCTGTCGGGCTGGGGGGCGGGCTCGGCGAACTCCGCTGAAATCTGGTCCCGCTTCGACTGCGTGACCAGGAGGGCATAGAGCGCGGCCTTATTGTTCTCCGAAGTAAAATCGGAGATCACCCATTCGAACTTCCAGGCCCTCTTTTCTTTCGGCGTGAAAAAGCGAGGTTTGAAATGAGCCGCCAGCTGGTCGCGCTCCGCCACCGCCAGGTTCCTGAGGTACGTGCACGCCTTCTCGGCCTCTTTGTTGTTGCACTCCTTCATCTCCGACTCAATGAGGCCGAGCGCGCAGGTCAGCATCCACGTCTGCTTGCGGTCCATACCCGACGGGTGCGGCGGGAACGCTTTGTCCTTCTTCTGCTGCTCGGTCGGCTCGGGCTTGTCGCCCCCCCACTGCTGCGCCAAGTGCACCATGGTCTGCTTGGTCTCCTCCGCGCGGAAGAGCATCACCAGCGCCTTCGCCTTCATGAACGACTTCGCCTCTTGCTTGAACACGAGGTAGTCGCGAGTAATCAACTTCGACACATCTTTGTCTCCACATTCTTGGCGGCCACTGGTCTTCTCGGCCCTCGGAGCCGCAGCCCCCTTCCGACGCGCGTTTCTTTGCGGCGGCAATCGCATCCATAACATTCGACATCTGCCTACAAGATATTCCAGTAAGTAACAAAAGTGGTTACGCTCCTAATACAAACTTGAATACAACTGGCCACTGTCGAAACACAAGATACCGCACAACTCAGACCATCAAGAAATATGATCATGCATTTCATCACAAAGTCAAGAACCAGGGTCAGGACTACAACCTTCGTCCTGGCCCGACAGAAGTCAAAGCTTCGCGGCATCATCCGCTGTCGCGTGCCATCTCTGTGCGCTCAAGGGAAGCCCTGCCAATTCACGCCTGTGCGCACAATTCTTCCCATGCTTAACTGCTCCTCGTTTCGTTTGAAAACGCGCGGCACAATGCTGGCATTCAACAGTTGGATCCTTCTGCGTACTTATGCGATGTCGTTTGCGTGCAATCCACATATCAGAAGGCATATGCAAACAAGATCGTTCATGTGCAGCCGTTTTAGATATAGATAGAAACGTCTCTGAGCACCATTGGCACGTAAGAAGCGGTGCCGAATCTGGGCGAGGCGGCCTCTGGAGGCCGTTGATAGAAGGTGGAATACAACCTCGCCTGGCCAACAATATTTCCGCAACCTTACAATCCTCATGATCCAGCGCCGGGCGGCACCGTGTACATTTCGAGCATACTGCACAACCCCATCCTTGAAATATACCACCAAAGCAACAACCATGAACCCGACAGCGATGGCACGCACTGCAAACACGGCAATTGACGCCCCGACATTGACGTTTGAACGAGGCCTCTGGGATCGGGAACTCCTCCAGGGCGGCGCTGATGATTTCTTGACCCCCCCCCCCCCCCCGACTCCCCCCACCCCCTGGCGGATAGAAGCTGTTGTAGGCTCTCTTACGTTCCTTCCCCTTCCTCCCTTTGGTCTTTCCCTCCTCCTTTCTCGTCCTGCTGCTGGTTCATCTGGGGGATCTCTATGGGCTCCTCGAGGTGCTGTCGCCAAGCCTCCTCCGCCTCCTCCTCCATCTGCTTCATATCCTCGAAGTCCATCTCCTGACCCTCCATGTTCAGCTGCGGAGGTGCTGGTTGCGGTGCTGCTGCTCCTGTCGCGCTTACTTGCATGGCTTCGTGAAGGGTTCGCCGCTGCCCTTCCCGCCCCCGATCTGCACACCCATCCGCGGCCTCATTGCCGACCGCCCCGCTGTGTCCTTTCACGTGTTTGAAAACCACTAATCGCTGCGCCTGCAGTCGTCTAACCCATTTCCGAACTACTTTTACCAACGCAATATTCGTCTTAGGTTTCCATTTCCCCGTTGCCATCTTTGCTGCGTAGTCTGAGTCATACAATACAACCACCGACCTAAGATTATGCTTTCCACTGTCCCTGTCATACAATTCTTCGCATCCAAACAGCATTGCACTCAACTCACCCGTATTATTACTCGCCCGCGTCGCCCCCACAAATTCAACTCCATCTAAAGATAAGTGTACTGATCCACGAAACGCATAACATTCACCCATCTCGGAAAACGCCACTCCCCATCCTGCCGCACCCTCTTCTGAAGTACTCGAGGCGCTGATATAGAAACCATCCGTACACATCTCAATCCAATTGTGTTGCCATTCCGTAAACGTCACGTGGCCTGTGTTCTTCTCGATTTCCGTCTGCTGTCGTTCACTGTGAAATACTTCAGGCTGTCGATGCTCGTGATTTGTCGTCTCGGGTCTCAGTGCCTGGAGTCGACCTTCCACTGCCTGCTGAAACTTCTTGCGGCATTCTGCTGCTTCCTCATCTCGTCCTCGCATTTTGTACAATAATAATTTCCCTTTTCCGAACCTTTTGTTTTTCATGATTTACCTGAATTGCTTGATACCGAGCGGCTCGGATGCCACGTGTGTTATCTTTTTGGTTTGGTTCCACGCTGATAACATACTCTTTCGCCACATGATCTGTAAATGCAAAATTCGCTCGAGTCTTAATCCTTTTCACCTGTCTGCCTGTCCGTAATGGTGTACAAATAAAATCGATCGCATACCAATTTCCTTTCCTATGCTGCCACGTGCCTCTCGTGTCTAGATATCTGAAACTATCAACCCTCATCAACTGTACAGTCTGAATCCACTGCAGAAATCTAGTTCCTCCCACCGTGGTCTCCTGTTTCATTTTTGAACTGCCCAATGTGTTCATCGACCACCGCGTCTTTGCCAATATGTGCATTCCAATCACCTGCCAAGAAATATTGATACCCTGCCTTTTTTAGAATAACCGTCAACTCTCGAGTGGTACGATATGCTTCATCCAATTGCGAAGCTGCTGATCCCGTCGGAAGATACACCGAGCCAATGCCCACAACGTCTCCCGTCGGCGTGGCCAAGGTAATTCCGCATGACCGATCTCCTGTCAGAAAAACTCTTCCCCTCCTGTTTGCCATGCCAGTCTAGCCGCAGTATTCATGATGATACCAGTTTGACTTGCAATCAACATCGGGGACTCCTCTATGTACACAATCGCTCTCTTGCCCAAGGCGCTCGTGGAGTTGTGCAGTTCTGAGAGACATGCCACGTCCCACTGTTCAGCCCTCATAGTTTGAATGATCTGGCGAAGTTTGAAACGATTGTCCACTCTCGCCCAGTCAAGACCTTGTGTATTGACCGCTCCAAGCGTAAAGCGGCTCTTACATTCGACTCGCAACCGTCGAGATGGCCGATGAGCATGACGAATTCTTCCTCGGAGGCGCCCCCGAAAGGATTCTTGGGCGCCTTGGCTGACCACAGTCGGCCGAGTCGAGGTCCGTGCTGAAGAATGATCGACTGCGAGCCAATGACCTTCACCCCGTGTTGCCACGTGGTCGGCGTCTGCACCCTGCCCGCGAAAGAGGTGCAGCAGCCGCAATCTCCGTAACTTAGAGAGAACGGCGAAGATCAATTAGTCGGAGCCCATGGTCACAAACTTCGTGTTGTACGCTATGCTCCGCTTCACTGTGGCCCACTTGCGGGTGATCTCCATCCACAGGCTCGTGCACATCCACATCCACCGATCCTCCCCGTTCCCTGCTGCTTCCCCTTCCACCGCTGGCGTTGATCAGCCCAGACGGGGGATCTGGAGACAGGGGGGGTGTATGAAGTGGGAAGAAGATGCACTGTCTCGAGCAACTTTGAAGTCTGAGCCGCCCTGGAGGGAGAAGAGACCTATCCACTTGGAGGCGGCTTGGGGGTCCGCTCTGGATGGGCACCAGCACGACCAGGCAGGAGGGGAAAGGGAGCAAGCTCGGCATTCCATGCCCATCTGGAGAAAAAAGGCAGCCCCGAGGGGACAAGGAATGACACCTGTGTACAACGGTGTCTCTCCCCCTCGTTAACGATAGAAAACCCAGTCGAGGAGGAGGGGAAAGAGGAGGAGGGGAAGGAGAAGGAGGAGGAGGAGGAGGACGAGGAGGAGGAGGAGGAGGAGGAGGAGGGGGAGGAGGAGGAGGAGGAGGAGGAGGAGGGAGGAGGAGGAGGAGGAGCTGGACTTTCTGCCTGCGGCTGGACCAGTGAGCGGTTCCAGCTCTCCAGGTCGCCCCCCCGTCGTGTGCCCGCCGCCCTCGCGCCGCCCTCCCGCGGAGCTCGCGGGCAGGCCTCGGGGGGGTCAGGACTGCGGGGCCACCTCGGGGCCTCCTCCAGTGGATGGACAATAGATTCGAAGCCTTGCACATTCGAGGGAGACTCTAAATCACCCCCGCGCCCCGGGCATCAATGCTGATCTCAGTGAGGTGCTTTGGGATGCGAATAGTTCTGTCCACTCACGCACCTCCCGTCGCCACGCCACC